TGTTGATGCCAGTTGAAGCTGGTGGAAATCTGACCAATGTCTTATCAAACCTGGATGACAGTGAACAATGCCATGTGTGACCTGGCTGTTCTCCTCACTGAGTAAAGGCGGGGAGGTGGGCTCTCATTCTAACTGACTAGTTTCTCTTTTGAATGACTAATGGAAGTTCTGCATTAACACCGATTTTTAAGTGTCAGAACCAGAAGATCTTTTTGGGAAGCTGTTTTGCAAATAAAATTTTAAGACAGTGGACTGGTTGTATTAGGTATTATTTGTGAGCCATTAGTTTGATAGTTCAGAAAGAATAAAGCGGGAACAAAATTTCTGGACTATAGAAATAACCTGGAAACCTTTAGAGAAGTGATGGAAGAGTGCAAAAGTACAAAGTTCCCTTTTTTATTTTCATTGGAACTAAACTCCCAAAAGACGTTCTACAGGGTCCTGAGAGCTTACTGATTGCTCTGCTTTATTCAGAATTTTGGAATTTTTGTGTCAATATTACTAAGGAAGAAATGCATGATGGTTTTGTGTGTGGGTGGTCAGAGAAAAGAGGGGCAGAATGAAAAGGAAGAAGAATGACTAAATATTTTCCCACCCATTCCAAATTAATCAAACGGAAGCACAGAATTTGAAGCATGCGCACTGAGAAAGAAGTTATTTGATGTGCCAGAGTTGAATCTCAAGATTTCTAAAAAATACTGAATTAATAAACATTTCATGTAATTTTTATTTTTAAAATTTAATAGTTTTACTTCCTCCTGCATATGAAAAATTGTGCCAGTATTTTTTTTTTTTTTTGGTACCGGGGATTGAATTTGGGTCCTTGTGCTTGCAAGGCAGGCCACCAAACTGCTAAGCTAAATCCCTGACCCTTGTTCCAGTATTTTGAAAGGCATTAAAGTCAACTACAAAATGAGGCTTAGCCAGTGTATATAAGCTTTTTAGGCAGTGTCTGTTCCAAAATGTTATGGCCCAGCAGTGTTCACAATGATGTGGGGGTCCTGTACCCTCTTTACTCTGAGAGATGTGTAATAGCAAAAATAATCATGCACCAACCTGGATGCCTCATTAATCAACAAGTCCAGATGTGCTATAATCTATTCTTATGTACGTAGGTCTGACTGTCATCTGATGTCTGAGGCAAAGAGAAAGCTGTGCTTAGACAGAAAGAAGTAGGTGGATGTGTGGAGGTTGCCTGGCTTAGTTAATATGTTTATTACCTAAAGGAAGAAAAACCAAATATGAAAAAATAACCTAATGTGTAGGCTGCAGTAATTGGATTGCTAGCTTAATCAGAAAACCTCATGTTTTTTCCTCCCAAAGATAGACTGTATTTACTGATCACCATTAAAGTCAGAACGTCTTCAGCTTATTACAACATTAAAGTATATGATTTATTACATATGTCATTTATATAAGGCTTTGACTGTTTAAGAAAAGTGCTTTTTTTTTTTAAAAAAAAAAGATATCTCAGGTGTGTTTTGAGGATTATGTAAAAGGTTTCATGTCCCAGAACTTAGCCTTTACCTGTGAAATGTTACTATACCCCTTTTTCATACTAGGTCTACATTAGATCAAGTAGTTGTGTAGCAGTATGTATTACTTGTGTGTTTTTAGCTGTGACACAACTTTGTGATTAAAAAAGCATATTTTAGTAGATGCTTATAACTCAAGAATAACTTTTTATTTAACCATTTCTTATTTTTGTTCTTTGTCACATATGCTTTTAGTATGTACCCAGCAGCTGCATGTACATGGCTGTAACCAAAATAGATTCTGAGGCTGCAACATTAATTTGTAGCTTTTACTGTTTGATATATCAAATTTTAAAAATCTGTATCTGTGTTTATCTATAATGGAACACTATTACCAAAATAATAAAGTCACTTTTATAATTTTATGATGTTTTGTTTTACATTGTTAACAAATATAGTCTGATTCATCCATTTATTTCTACTATTATTGTACGTTCTTGAATGAAAATAGTGCACCATACGATTTGTGGTCCACCAGTATGATGATCAGGTTTTCATGCCACTGAGCGAGATGTTCCTCTCTCAAAAGAGAGGCGGCACCACACCTGCCTGGCAAGTTCAAGGTCCTGAGTTCAATTTCCAGTACCGGGGGAAAAAATGCTACAACCTCAGCATGTTACCCATCTTATATGTGGCAAAAAGAGTAAAAATAAATTGTATTATAAACCTTTTATTTAGCTATTCTAAATTTTAAATTCTTGGTTTCCTCTTTTTGTTTTGTAATAGTTTTTTGGCATGCAGTTTTCTATCAAATTCCCGATGTCTATATTTTTTAATTTATAAAAAGCAAGGAGGAGTTGAATTTTAATGGCAAACAACCAAACAAAATAAGAATTTGGAAATTTTAAAAGATTGAGTGGATGACTATGTTAAGTTGTTGACAATATTTCTGCTTCAACTGAAAAACACAGGACGCATTTTTCCTACTCAATAGCACACTAATCTATAAGTGTTTCTTTCACTCATTCATTTTTTAAGGTACATGTGCCTTAATTAATAGGTGCAGTTGCTGTTCAATAAAATAGAATGGATGAGAGAATAGTGTAATAGCCGAGGTGGAGATATTTTTCTGCTGACCTTTTTACCTGGTAAATTACTCGATACCCAGGACCTCCACACATTAGGGTTATGCAGGGCCACAGGCCTTTATTTTTCCTGGCTATGCTTCCCATTACTGTCAAAACAGGAAAAGGAACAGTGGAGTAAAAATTGCACTCATTGTCACTGATACTTTGGATTGGGAACGTCACTGTAGCAGCCAAAGGGATGGCAATGAATTAGTTTTGGAGAATACTCACTTCTTTTCCAGATGTAAAAAAAGAAAAGATCCAGAAAGATCTTGGAAATGGTCATACAGGTTCAATATGAGTGAAAGAAGTATCATCATGGGGAAAAGTTCCTTTAAAAAAAATCTAATCAAATTTTTGCAAAACTGTCAAACAGGGTTGCATTCTACCTAATTAGTCCAGTATCATATTGTGTAAGGCTGGATGCAGGAGGGAAATGAATGCAGCCTTGGACATAAAATAGGTGTGGTCATTAGAAACTCAGAGGCCAGTACGGTAACCTCAAAGTCAGACCACATTTCTGCACAAGTGCCACAGAAGTTCACTAGCTCTCAGCTCTCTCTGATTTTGGCTCAGTGACAATCGCTCCCTGTTTACTAGTGTCAGCCTCTTAATTATCCTTCTCAGAAGGAGGAGGAAAAAGAAGAAATCAATTATATATATTGAAACACATTTAAAAGCAATTTTTAAAAGCTGGAATCTTTTGGAGGTGATAATCTAGTTTAAATAGATATGGGCAAATTACAGATAACAGGTTGTGCTTATAGATCCTTCATTTGCTAAGCTACATACAGCTTTTGAAGAGGAATGCTATGGTCTTAATACTTTTCAATGTGTCAGGAGAGGAAGAAATGAAACTAAAATATACTAAGCATGTATGATTTGGGATCACTGTACTAAAATAAACTCTTTAACACATTAATGCACAACAATCTTGTGAGGGAGACAGTAATATGTCAAAATTAATCATTCAGGAACATCTGTATATGGATTTTCTCAAGACACGAACGACTTCAAAACTCACTGTCTTCATAACACCACTTGCCTCTTCCCGGTCTACCCACGTTTGCAGATGCAGGGTAGGCTGTCTATTTTTGTAAAACTATGATTCCCAGGAGCTTCACAAGTGATTTACCTGATTCTCTGTAGGGCACATTCCGTGCTGTATCCAGGGAGCAGCTGACATTGTAAAGTTCCAGGAAGAGTTACAACATTGTTCTGCTCTGAGAAATGCCTCCTTGATCTGTTCTTTATGGGGAAAAAGTCATGCTTTATCTTATAATCTTAAAACGTCTATCTTAGAGCTTGCCTGGACCAGGGATCTTTGCCTGAGTCGAAGGCCATCTGCATGCTGTCTGGTTGCCTGGGACGTGGTCTGATGTGAGAATGCTGTCCCTTCGATAGCGGTGTACCTGCATGGATGTGACCGATCACATGATCAACCAGAACCTTTATGGGAGCCCATGGGCAACACCAGAGGGAGAGGGCAATACCAAGGCATGAATCAGGCATGTGGCTAGTAAGCCTGCCTTTGCAAACAGGATAACTGGAGCTCTGGAACTTGTTTTGGACCACTCGAGATCCCTTTGGGCTATGTATGACATCAACAACCTAGGATGTCACAGCACAGTCTTAATAGCCTCTGAGACATTTTGAGGTCAGGGCTAAGAGTCACTGTGCAAGCCTGAAAGCCCAGCCTAGCCTCCTTTTGTTCTTGTTTTTAGTCCTGTTTTTCCTCCCCGACTCTCTCTACTCATTACAATGTGCTTAACGTACACTCTACTTATTCCAGCAAAACTTGAAATTTTTTTTTGTATACATACGTTCTTAATTTACGTAAACACCATACCCATCTCATCCTGTGGCTCAGTCTTTTCTTTACATAATATTTTAAAGTCCTGTCCTTGTGTAATCCTATGGCTTCCAACTGCTGCTTCATACTCCATGGTATTCATTTACTACGTTTTCTGTGTCTGCTCTCTGGGGAATAGATATACATATGGCATCCACTTTTAGGAGTTTCCCAAATAATGCTGCAAGGAACACCCTTGTGTGTGTACGTGTTTCCTGGTGGACCTACATAAGATTTGCACCATATGCCATAACCCAGGTGTAGACAGGCCGAGTCCTCAAATATGAGTGTGTAATACAAATACTACAAGTCCGTTCTTCAGAACGCCAGGCCTATCCTCCCTTCGGCTGCGCATGTGATTTCCCCTGCACCTATCTCCCCAACAACACATGACATGACCTCTTTATTTTACTTGGTACGTCCTTCTGGGTCGAAATTATGCACAAAATCAATTATTAACCAGGCAAACAAAGAGACGTCTGTGATCATTTCTCAGCACCACTGATAGTTGTATTTTGTACATATATCACCTCTCTTCTTTTAGAAAATCTAATTCTCATTTATTGAACATCAGGTACACCAGGTTTGTTCCTGAATGATCTTGTGCATATAGAAGCAAGAGTGAAGAAAAGTGGAGTGAGTTTTGTTGGTTTTCTGTGGGGCACTGATGAGATCTCCACCTTTACCAGAACTCAGTTTTAAATCAGTGCCCGTGTTACTTGGCATTCACTGGGAACAAAATACCCAAGAAAATCAATCTGAAGGAGGAAGGACGTATTTTGGCTCACAGTCTTGGTGATTTCCGTTCATAGTGGGTTGGCCTGCTGTTCTTGGGCTTGTGGTGAGGGAGCACACGGCAGCAGATGGTGGGGCAAAGTTGCTCATCTTGAGGTGACTGGAAAGGAAAGAAAAAGAGAGGAAGGGACCAGGCTCCCACTATCCCCTCAAGGGTACGCCCCCAGTGACCTAACCCCTTTCCACTAGGTGCCTCTCCTGACAGTACCCCCACCTCCCTACAGTGCCGCAGGCTGGGGACCAAGCCTTTAACTCCTGAGCCTGTGGGTGCACTCTAGATACAAAGTCTAATCAGACCTTAGGTCCACTCTCAGTTGTTTTTCCCTGTCATACTGCTGAAAGTACTTGAGGCTTTTCTGTTTTTGTTCACCACTGTGCATGTGTGTGCTGATACGCATCTAAGTACGCATGTATATGCCGACAGTATTTACTATTTATTGCTTTGGGAGATAACAATTCATTTTGAAATCTATTTCATTATTTTTTTCATTTAAAATTTACCACCGTGGAGCACCTCTACAAAACTACTAGAGTAAGTTTAAAAAAATGCAAACTGATGATACCAAGGTCTGGGAAGGATGTAAAAGCTCCTAGGGCTTTGGAACATCGTCGAGAAGAGTGCAGCATGGTATGGTATGACCCTACACCTAGATATTTATCCTCAAGAGATGAAAACACTTTCACATAAAATTAAAATTTACCACCGTGGAGCACCTCTACAAAACTACTAGAGTAAGTTTAAAAAAATGCAAACTGATGATACCAAGGTCTGGGAAGGATGTAAAAGCTCCTAGGGCTTTGGAACATCGTCGAGAAGAGTGCAGCATGGTATGGTATGACCCTACACCTAGATATTTATCCTCAAGAGATGAAAACACTTTCACATAAAAGCTATGCACGAATGCCTATGGCAGATCAATCTGTGATCGTCTCAAAATGGAAAAAAAAAAAAATCAAAGTTTCTTTGAAAGGGCAGTTGGCGCCAGAAGATG